ACCTATGCAAATCTCAATGCACATAAAGACCTTAAGATCTGGAATTCATTGTCTGAAGCATCGAACACTACCTTGTCTGCCAACTGATTCACAGTTGTTGTTAAAATGCACCTCATCTCCTTAACGTATTTGAAACAGCAATATGATGTATTAAACAAAACCAGCTCATCCAAGTGTCCTTGTTCTTCTTCCAGTCTTCCTTCAACTGTGTCACTGTTCTTCTTTCAATCTTCCTTCAACTGTGCCCCTGTTCTTCTTCCAATCTTCCTTCAACTGTGTCCCTGTTCTTCTTCCAATCTTCCTTCAACTGTGTCACTGTTCTTCTTCCAGTCTTCCTTCAACTGTGTCCTTGTTCTTCTTCCAATCTTCCTTCAACTGTGTCCCTGTTCTTCTTCCAATCTTCCTTCAACTGTGTCCCTGTTCTTCTTCCAATCTTCCTTCAACTGTGTCCCTGTTCTTCTTCCATTCTTCCTTCAACTGCGTCCCTGCTCTTCTTCCAATCTTCCTTCAACCGTGTCCCTGTTCTTCTTCCATTCTTCCTTCAACTGTGTCCCTGTTCTTCTTCCAATCTTCCTTCAACTGTGTCCCTGTTCTTCTTCCAATCTTCCTTCAACTGTGTCCCTGCTCTTCTTCCAGTCTTCCTTCAACTGTGTCCCTGTTCTTCTTCCAGTCTTCCTTCAACTGTCACTGTTCTTCCAGTCTTCCTTCAACTGTGTCCCTGCTCTTCCAATCTTCCTCCAACTGTGTCCCTGTTCTTCTTCCAGTCTTCCTTCAACTGTCACTGTTCTTCCAGTCTTCCTTCAACTGTGTCCCTGCTCTTCTTCCAGTCTTCCTTCAACTGTGTCCCTGTTCTTCTTCCAGTCTTCCTTCAACTGTGTCCCTGTTCTTCTTCCAGACTTCCTTCAACTGTGTCCCTGTTCTTCTTCCAGTCTTCCTTCAACTGTGTCCCTGTTCTTCTTCCAGTCTTCCTTCAACTGTGTCCCTGTTCTTCTTCCAATCTTCCTCCAACTGTGTCCCTGTTCTTCTTCCAATCTTCCTTCAACTGTGTCCCTGTTCTTATTCCAGTCTTCCTTCAACTGTGTCCCTGTTCTTCTTCCAGTCTTCCTTCAACTGTGTCCCTGTTCTTATTCCAGTCTTCCTTCAACTGTGTCCCTGTTCTTATTCCAGTCTTCCTTCAACTGTGTCCCTTTTCTTCTTCCTGTCTTCAGTTGTGTCCCTGTTCTTCCTCCAGTCTTCAACTGTGTCCCTGTTCTTCCTCCAGTCTTCAACTGTGTCCCTGTTCTTCCTCCAGTCTTCAACTGTGTCCCTGTTCTTCCTCCAGTCTTCAACTGTGTCCCTGTTCTTCTTCCAGTCTTCCTTCAACTGTGATAAATCCAGGAATGTGATACAATGAAAGAATGTGATAAATGGTGGTGGTAGTAATAGGTCGCTCCTGTCTGTCTCAACTATTGGATCACTACGACAAGGTCCTAGATGCACTAGAAGACAAAAAGAATGCAGATGTAATATATACAGACTTTGCAAAAGCCTTCGACAAGTGTGACCATGGCGTAATAGCACACAAAATGCATGTTAAAGGAATAACAGGAAAAGCTGGTCGATGGATCTATAATTTTCTCACTAACAGAACACAGAGAGTAGTAGTCAACAGAGTAAAGTTCGAGGCAGCTACGGTGAAAAGCTCTGTTCCACAAGGCACAGTACTCGCTCCCATCTTGTTCCTCATCCTCATATCTGATATGGACAAGGATGTCAGCCACAGCACCGTGTCTTCCTTTGCAGATGAAACCCGAATCTGCATGACAGTGTCTTCCATTGCAGACACTGCAAGGCTCCAGGCGGACATCAACCAAATCTTTCAGTGGGCTGCAGAAAACAATATGAAGTCCAACGATGAGAAATTTCAATTACTCAGATATGGTAAACATGAGGAAATTAAATCTTCATCAGAGTACAAAACAAATTCTGGCCACAAAATAGAGCGAAACACCAACGTCAAAGACCTGGGAGTGATCATGTCGGAGGATCTCACCTTCAAGGACCATAACATTGTATCAATCGCATCTGCTAGAAAAAATGACAGGGTGGATAATGAGAACCTTCAAAACTAGGGATGCCAAGCCCATGATGACACTCTTCAGGTCACTTGTTCTATCTAGGCTGGAATATTGCTGCACACTAACAGCACCTTTCAAGGCAGGTGAAATTGCTGACCTAGAAAATGTACAGAGAACCTTCACGGCGCGCATAACGGAGATAAAACACCTCAATTACTGGGAGCGCTTGAGGTTCCTGAACCTGTATTCCCTGGAACGCAGGGGGGAGAGATACATGATTATATACACCTGGAAAATCCTAGAGGGACTACTACCGAACTTGCACACGAAAATCATTCACTACGAAAGCAAAAGACTTGGCAGACGATGCAACATCCCACCAATGAAAAGCAAGGGTGTCACTAGCACGTTTTAAGAGACCATACAATAAGTGTCAGGGGCCCGAGACTGTTCAACTGCCTCCCAGCTACTAGTGTGTTGCTCCTCACTATGTTTCTCTGGTACTGCTACTGGGATACTGTCGTCCTGACAGCTGCCGTGCTCGCTTTGTGCTTGCTGCACAGTTCATGCAGCTGCTGACAGGCTTGCCTAGCGGATGCACTGTCACTGCTCGTGGCCTGCTGCTGCGTGCCGACTTGCTAGGTTTCAGTTGACTCAGTGCTAGGTTCTATGAGTCTGACTAGTCTGCCTGTGCGCTGCTGGTGACTGGTTGCTGCTGTGCGGGGACTGCGCTTGTGCTAACATGTTCTGCTGTCTGTGGATGAATGCTGTGCATAGCGCTACGGGTGCTGCTAGTTGCTGCTACTTACTCTGTCTGTCTGCTGCTACTGCCTACTGCTGCTGCTTCTGGCTGTGCTGCTGTGTACGGCTGGCTGCATCGGTCACTGCTACTGGTGCTCGATTTGCTGCTGTACGGGTGGCTGTCTGCTGGTACTGTGCTGCGATGCGCTACTGTTGCTGCACTCTGCTGCACTGGTGCTGCTCTACTGCTGGTGCACTGTCATTCTGGCTGCTTGGGTGCTGTCTGCTGCTGTATGCTTTGTGCTGCTCGTGCTAGCTGTGCTGTTCTGGTACTGCTACTGCTGCTGCTGCTGGTGTTGCTACATTTGCGAATGCTGCCTGCTGGTGCATAGCTGCTGCAGCGTTGCTGTTGCTGCTGTTGCTGCTGGTGCTTGACTGCTAGTCTGCTGCGCTGGTTGCATTGCTGCTGTCGTGCGATGCTGCTTGCTGCTGACTGTGGCTGCGCTGCCTGACTGCTGTCCTGTTGTGCTGCGGTGCTGCTTGTGCTGCTGTTGCTGCTGCTGCTGCTGCTGACGTGCTGCTGCTGCTGCTGCATGCTGCTGTGCTGCTGCGTGCTGACTGTGCTGTCTGGTGCTGCGCTCTGTTGCCTGCTGCTGTGTCGCTTTGTCTAGCTGCTGCGTTGCTGCTGCTGCTGCTGGTGCTGCTGCCTGCTTGTGCTGCTGTGTTGCTGGTGCTGTGGTGGCTGCTGCTGCTGTGTGCTGGTGCTGCTGCTGCTTGCTGCTGGCTGGTATGCTTGCTGGTGCTGCTGTGCTGCTGCTGTGCTTGCTGTGCTGGTGCTGCTGCTGTGTGCTGCTGCTGCTGCTGTGCTGCGTGCTCGCTGTGCTTGTTCTGTGCTGCTGCTGCTGTGCTGCTGTGGTGCTGCTGCTGCTGCTGGCTGATGCTGTGCTGCTGCTGCTGCTGTGTGCTGGCTGCTGCTTGCTGCTGCTGCTTTGCTGGTGCTGCTGTGTCTGCTGCTGCTTGCTGCTGCTACTGCTGTGCTGCTGTGCTGGTGTGTGTGCTGGGTGCTGTGCTGCGTGCTGGCTCGTTGTGTGCTGGTGCTGCTGTGCTGTTGCTGCTGTCTGCTGCTGGTGCTGCTGCTGCTGGTGCTGGCTTGCTGCTGCGTGCTGCTGCTGCTGTGCTGGTGCTGCTGCTGCTGCTGGTGGCTGTGTGCTGCGCTGCTGCTGCTGTGCTGGCTGGCGTGCTGTGCTGCTGTGCTGCTGGTGCTGCTGCCTGCTGGTGCTGCTGCTGTGCTGCTGCTGCTGCTGCTGTGTGCTGCTGCTGCTGCTGTGCTGCTGCTGCTGTGCTGTGCCTTGCTGCTGCTGCTGTGCTGCTGTGCTGCTGCTGCTGCTGCTCTGCCTGGTGCTGCTGCTGCTGGCTGCTGCTGGTGCTGCTGGTGCTGCTGCTGTCTGCGTGCTGAGTGCTTGCTGCTGCTGTGCGGTGGCTGGCTGGTGCTGCTGCTGCTGCTGTGCTGCTGGCTGGTGTGCTGTGGTGTGCTGCTGGCTGCTGCTGCTGCTTGTGCTGCTGCTGCTGGTGCTGCTGCTGCGCTGCTGCTGGTGCTGCTGCTGTGCTGCTGCTGTTGGCTGCTGCTGTGCTGCTGCTGGTGCTGCTGCTGTGTGCTTGCTGCTGCTGCTGGTTGCTGCTGCTGTGTGCTGTGCTGCTGGTGTGCTGTGCTGCTGCTGCTGCTGTGGCTGCTGCTGTGTGTGGTGCTGCTGCTGTCTGCTGCTGCTGTGCTGTGTGCTGCGTGCTGGTGCTGGCTGCTGTGCTGCTTGCTGCTGCTGCTGGTGCTGCTGCTGGTGCTGCTGCTGCTGCTGCTGTGCTGCTTGCTGCTGCTGCTGCTGCTGGTGCTGCTGTGCTGCTGTGCTGCTGCTTGCTGCTGGTGCTGCTGTGTCTGGTGTGCTGCTGCTGCTGCTGCTGCTGGTGCTGCTGGTTGCTGCTGCTGTGCTGCTTGCTGCTGCTGGTGCTGCTGGTTGCTGCTGCTGGCTGCTGGTGCTGCTGGCTGTGCTGGTGCTGCTGCTGCTGCTGCTGCTGGGTTGCTGTGCTGCTGGTGCTGCTGCTGCTGTGCTGCTGCGTGCTTGCTGCTGCTGCTGTTGTGCTGCTGCTGCTGCTGCTGGTGCTGCTGTGTGCTGCTCTGCTGCTGCTGCTGGTGCTGTGCTGGTGCTGCTGCTGCTGCTGCTGCTGTGCTGCTGCTGCTGGCTGCTGCTGCTTGCTGCTGCTGGTGCTGGTGCTGCTGTGGCTGCTGGTGCTGGTGCTGCTGCTGCTGCTGGTGCTGTGCTGCGCTGGTGCTGCTGCTGTGCTGCGTGCTGCTGTGTGCTGCTGGCTGCTGCTGCTGCTGCTGCGTGCTGGTGCTGCCTGCTGCTGCTGCTGGTGCTGGTGCTGCTGCTGCTGGCTGCCTGCTCGGTGCTGCTGCTGGTGCTGCTGCTGCTGCTGCTGGTGCTGGTGCTGCTGCTGCTGCTGCTGCTGCTGCTGCTGCTGCTGGGCTGCTGGCTGCTGCTGTGGTGCTGGTGCTGCTGCTGCTGTGCTGTGCTGCTGGTGCTGGTGCTGCTGCTGCTGCTTGCGTGCTGCTTGCTGCTGCTGTGCTTGCTGCTGCTGCTGCTGCTGGTGCTGCTGCTGTGCTGCTGCTGTGCTGCTGGTGCTGGTGCTTGCTGGTGCTGCTGGCTGGTGCTGCTGCTGCTGCTGCTGCTGCTGCTGCTGCTGCTGTGTGCTGCTGCTGTGTGCTGCTTGCTGCTGTCTGTGCTGCTGCTGCTGCTGGCTGCTGGCTGCTGCTGCTGCTGCTGCTGCTGCTTGCTGGTGCTGCTGGTGCTGCTGCTGCTGCTGCTGCTGCTGGTGCTGGTGCTGCTGGTGCTGCTGCTGCTGCTGCTGCTGCTGCTGCTGGTGCTCGCTGCTGCTGCTGGCTTGCTGTGCTGTCTGCTGTTGCTGCTGCTGCTGCTGCTGCTGCTGGGTGCTGCTGCTGGTGCTGCTGCTGCTGCTGCTGCTGTTTGTGCGTGCTGGTTGCTGCTGCTGCTGCTGCTGCTGCTGTGCTGCTGCTGCTGCTGCTGCTGCTGCTGCTGCTGCTGCTGCTGCTGCTGCTGCTGCTGCTGCTGCTGCTGCTGCAGACAGTCAGTGTTGATACCACTACCACAGCAGACATGGGTCGAGGTAACACACTTATTTCTGACGTTTTTTGAACATATAACAGCTTGTTTTAACACAGCAATGTGTGTTAAAGCTGGGGTTTAACGTAGTGTAAACCCTGGCAGGTTTAACCAGGTGTTAATGGTTTAAAATGAGTTAAAACAGTTAGTTGAAGGTTTATAGATGCCGGTGTAGTGATTGGTGGAGCTGGACACGCAACCTTCCTCCTATTGGCTGCTGCTGCTCCTCTGCTCTTGATCCAGGATAGTGGAGCTCACCCTCTTCTTCCTCGGATCATGACTTGTCTCCTGTTTCTCCAGGGGGGATGTATGACCCATGCGGGTTTAACGCCATTCAGTAAATATGGAGTCCGAGTGGCTGCCTTGTTTAAGGGTTCTTGATCCAGGGCAGTTGAACTGGCCTCCTCTTCCTCGGATCATGAGTGTCTTGCGCATCGTCACAGGCAGTATGACCCATTCGAGTTTAGCGCAATCTAATGTTAAGGATTTTAGATCAGTGGTTGAGGGGGGTACCAAGATGGTGTAGGTCTCTTGATCCAAGGAACTGGAGTGAGTCTCCCCTTCCATGGATCAAACTTGATTGCCTCCCATTCCTCAGACATTGATCCCTGTGGGTTTAGCGCTTCCCATTTAAATATATGTCTGCTGCAGCCAACCTCTCTTATGTTGCCATAATTATCACTTATTTGTTGTTACCTTAATGCTGGTGAAGGGCTCTTGATCCAAGGAACTGGAGCACACCTTTTTCCATTCTAAAATCCTGTATGGCCCCCTGTGGGTTTTGTGCTTCCCCATGATTATAATCTATATATAAGTTTGTCCACTTGGAGTTGCCTTGATGCTAATATGGGGCTCTTGATCCAAGGATCTGGCCTTCTCTTCCCCTTCCTTGGATTAAACCAGATTGTTTCTCAGTCCCCGGGTAATGTACGACCGACGTGCTGTCCGCCGCCCCATATATATAATAATAATGGTACTGTCCTTCAAGGGACCTTGATCTTGCTGTAAGGCTCTTGATCCAAAAAATTGGACCTATTCTCCTATTCCATGAGCAGCACTGTATGACCCTTATGAGTTTAGTGCTTGGTTATGATTGTAATATTCCCGTTCCATAAATCAGACACGACTGTGATCATGATAATGGTCGACAGTACTGACACAGTTAGTGCAGCTTAATATCTCTATTATGCAGCCCAGAACCATGGTGTAGGTACATAATGGGTCCAGGGACTGTACCTCAACATTACAACATTACATAATGGGTCCAGGGACTGTACCTCAACATTACAACATTACATAATGGGTCCAGGGACTGTACCTCAACATTACAACATTACATAATGGGTCCAGGGACTGTACCTCAACATTACAACAGTACATAATGGGTCCAGGGACTGTACCTCAACATTACAACAGTACTAATGGGTCCAGGGACTGTACCTCAACATTACAACAGTACATAATGGGTCCAGGGACTGTACCTCAACATTACAACAGTACATAATGGGTCCAGGGACTGTACCTCAACATTACAACAGTACATAATGGGTCCAGGGACTGTACCTCAACATTACAACATTACATAATGGGTCCAGGGACTGTACCTCAACATTACAACATACATAATGGGTCCAGGGACTGTACCTCAACATTACAACAGTACATAATGGGTCCAGGGACTGTACCTCAACATTACAGCTACATAATGGGTCCAGGGACTGTACCTCAACATTACAACAGTACATAATGGGTCCAGGGACTGTACCTCAACATTACAACAGTACATAATGGGTCCAGGGACTGTACCTCAACATTAGTTACATAATGGGTCCAGGGACTGTACCTCAACATTACAACAGTACATAATGGGTCCAGGGACTGTACCTCAACATTACAACAGTACCAGTACATGTACAAGGTATACAGACCATCAATGACATACTATTACATGTACATACATGTATATTACATGTATATACAAAGCTGCTGGTTATACTGAGCATTTCCCCACAAATTAGGTCAGTTTTATCCCAGGATGCGACCCACACCAGTCCACTAACACGAGGTACCTATTTTATACTAATGGGTGAACATAGACAACAGGTATATGGAAGCACGCCCAATGTTTCAACTCTCCTCGGGAATCGAACCCGGACCCTCACCGTGTGAAAGTAGAACTTTTGCCACCAGGCCACAGGCCACCTAACTGTTGCATGTGTATCTTGCTGATCAAATGTGATTACTTTCCATTCCCCAGGCACTGTACAACTCCTGTAAGTTTAATTCTTCCCACCAAATACAATAAAAAGTTATAATAAGCTTGTATGTACTTGTTGTAGGGAGTAGCCCAGTTGTCTTGCAAAAACTGTCATGTTAAATGTATGTAATTTATTAACATTTGTTGTTTCAGGGGCTGACCCTTTTGGGTTTAAAGCTTAGTTCTGATTGTATTATTATTATTTCTGTTGCAGGGGCGTTAGTAATCTTGGCATTGTTAGGGGCGAGTTCAGCTCTGTCACCATCCACATACCTCACTCCTGGGGACAAGGAACGACTGAAGCTTGTCCTTGACCCAGCGTGGTCGCTCTCTGACCTTGCCCAAGTTCTCTATGCCTCAGCTGGTTACAAACACTTAGGTCAGGAGATTCCCAACATAGAGGTATGTATAGCATGGAATTTTCTGTTTCAGTAGGGAGGACTCTTATTATACGAGGTTTTACCCACCTTGAGATGTATCAGTACTATATGTAATACTCATATTTCAGCAGACCTCAAAAGTCAGAGACAGAATCCATTGGGTCAGTTTATCAGTAACAACAGCCAAGGTCTATTAGTTAAAATATTGTCCATTATTATTCTAATTGTGGCAAAACAGTGTCCCGGTGGCCCAGTGGCCCGGTGGCCTGGTGGCTAAAGCTCCCGCTTCACACACGGAGGGCCCGGGTTCGATTCCCGGCGGGTGGAAACATTCCGACACGTTTCCTTACACCTGTTGTCCTGTTCACCTAGCAGCAAATAGGTACCTGGGTGTTAGTCGACTGGTGTGGGTCGCATCCTGGGGGACAAGATTAAGGACCCCAATGGAAATAAGTTAGACAGTCCTCGATGATGCACTGACTTTCTTGGGTTATCCTGGGTGGTTAACCCTCCGGGGTTAAAAATCCGAAACGAAATCTTATCTTATCTTATCTTATCTCTATCCACCATAATTGATACGTATTTCGAACTTGCCATTCAATCAAGTGCTTACCTGGAGAAGGTTTCGGGGGTCAACGCCCCCATGGCCCAGTCTGTGACCAGGCTTATATGTTCTTTTGTGATGTGTCAGTTGGATATATCTACCATGGGCCAGTAGGCCTGCTTTAAATAGCTCCTAGCTGTATGGCACTTACAGGTTTAGTGCTTCTTTTTTATTATAATAATAACATAGTGCTCCTTCATTCCTAAATAACAAAAAAAGGCACAATACCGTGACTGGAACGATACACAAATAACCCGCATATAAAAGAGAGAAGGTTACGACGACGTTTCGGTCCGACTTGGAGTGTGACTTTGTAAATGGTCCAAGTCGGACTGAAACGTCGTCGTAAGCTTCTCTCTTTTATGTGCGGGTTATTTGTGTACCCTTCATTCCTATTTTTTACAGAGCTACACTGTGGTTTCCAATTTTAAAATAGACGTATAAATTACCACTTGACGATTTATGACATTAATTGCATACCTCTCCATTATAAGCTTTGTAAGTACTTATCAGAGTTGTCCTTTAAAGGTATGTGCTCTTGATCCAAGGAACTGGGGCTACCCTCACCTTCATTTTCTTAAACCTGATTATTCCCAATTCCCAAAGTGTTATTTGGACCTCATGGGCCATATAACAGTCAGGCCCCAGGCTGGTTGTGAGAGTACAAAAACTCTCAAAACTAGTTACAGGTAAATCTCTGTCATGTACACTTAATGCACCAATAACAGTCTTAATGGTCTAAGGACACCCTCTCTATTTACCCCTTCAAGGGTGGCGACTGTATTGATAGACTCGTGATCCAATAAATTCGAGCTACCCTCTGTTCTCTTGGATCAAGACAGAATATTCCTTATTCCTTAAATGCTGTATGACCCATGCAGGAATAGCACTTTCCATACATGTAATAATCTCATGAACTTTTGCCAGGGTGTGTGTAATTTTGTCAAGAGCTCAGCTACTGATGGAGCCACTGTTGAGACACTGTTCTTGGCATCTTCAGCTGGTAAAGCTCTGGGATGTCCCATAGCTGCTTCTTCAGCATCTGTTCAGGTAAGAATATATTATATAGGATGTGAGATATTGCTTAATAGTATGATGTACAGTATACTGTTTGGTAAACATCATGCAGTATACTATTTGGTATATTGTAGAGCCTTATCTAAACATAAGTCTGTAATAGAGGTTTACCTGCACTAAATGACACAATTTTTAACTTTCTGTGGGTTATTTGTATATTGTTCCAGTCATGGTATTGTGCAGTTTGGAGGGATATGTTGTGTATCTTTATACGTATATGCTTCTAAACTGTTGTGTTCTGAGCACCTCTGCAAAAACAGTGATTATGTATGAGTGAGATGAAAGTGTTGAATGATGATGAAAGTATTTTCTTTTTGGGGATATTTCTTTCTTTTTGGGTCACCCTGCCTCGGTGGGAGATGGCCGACTTGTTGAAAAAAAAAAAAAAATTATTGTGATAATCTAAATTACTTGAATAGATTCTATGTTTCAGGCAGTGAGTGATGCCATCAGAGAAGGAGCTTCATCTCAAGAGCTTTTCCATGCTGTTACTGCTGCTGCCAATCTTGGTGTGGATCTAGACACTGCCAAAGTCCTTCGTGCCACTCAGATGGCTTTGAAGAAGGACGACAGTGTGTTGAGGTTAGAATCATGAAATAGTTGAATACATATACAGGCAGGTCCTGCTTTACGTTGCTTCGCTTTATAGCTCTTAGCAGCAGTTTTCAATTATACAGTGGACCCCCGCTTTACGATCACCTCCCAATGCGACCAATTATGTAAGTGTATTTATGTAAGTGCGTTTGTACGTGTATGTTTGGGGGTCTGAAATGGACTAATCTAATTCATAATATTCCTTATGGGAACAAATTTGGTCAATACTGGCACCTGAACATACTTCTGGAATGAAATAATATCGTAAACCGGGGGTCCACTGTACTCGTTCTTCATGTATTCAGACTTCCTACAATAAATATGTTCATCACTTAGTATAAGCTAAGGATGAAAATATTTTAAGGTGAGCAATGTGTGTACTGTATATGCATTTTTTTAGGCCTAGTTCTATTACTCAATAATTGATAGTACATGTAAACATGTCCTCAGACTTTTATATGCATTTGAAAGTTAAAAATAAAAGGCTATACGTATTTCACTCTACAGCGATTTTCGCTTTATGGAAATAGCCCAGAGCCTAACTTGCTGTATAAGAGGGACCCTACTGTACTGTATTATTAATCATATTGTCAGTGTTTTAGCCTGATGTTTGTTTCTGTTCTTGAGTATGATGTGAATAAGCAAGGCTAAATTGAAAGCCCCTCTGCCTAAAGATTATTAATTGTAATCATAATCAGAGCTCTTCTAAACACCGTCTGGAGTACTTTTAAACCATAAAGTCATGAATAGTTGGGAAAATGAGAAGCTGTTAATCATATCAACTAACCTACAAATTAGATATAAATCTTTACACAGTGTTTTGGTTAGTCCTTGACTGCTATTAGGTCAGCTCTGTCCTAACCGTTTAAGGATAGGAGAGAGCTAAGGACCTAATAGCAGTCAAGGACTGACCAAAACATTGTCTGAAGATTTTATCTCTTAATTTATAGGTTAGATAAGAATTGTTCCAGACTCTTTAACTTTTAATCAAACCATAGAACGGTTGGGATTTGAACCTATGGGAAGCGAGTCCTGAAACTCACAGGCCAGTGCACTATTCACTTGGCCAGCTGGTTCTGATAAGTGTGTCCTGTGAATTTTAGGACTCTCAAGCCATGGGTACAAACCCCACCTGTTCCGTGTTTTGTTGACAGTCAAGTTATTATGATTTCATGAGTCAGCTTTTAATCTTCATGCAGAAATGTGCTTAAACTTTAATGTCATTTTCCAGCCTTGGTTATGCTTTCCATGTTGGGGCACAACTGAAGGGAGAAGTTGGAAGTATCTTTGAGAGGATTGAAGATGCAATTGTACAAGCAGATGAAGTTGATGGACGTATACTGCAGTTTGAAGGCGGCCTTTCAATAACTGGTGAATAATTTATTTGGTTGAAGATGTTTTAAGATATTGGTACTGAAGCTTACTGTCCTGAACTGTAAATTAACATCTTTTTCCACATTTGTTCTTTCTTCTTTCAACACACCGGCCGTATCCCACCAAGGCAGGGTGGCCCAAAAAGAAAAACGAAAGTTTCTCTTTTAAATTTAGTAATTTATACGGGAGAAGGGGTTACTAGCCCCTTGCTCCCGGTCCACATCTTGTTGATATCACTATATTTTTCAGAATTACTCCACTGTCTTGAGTGCACTCTTTAGTGAAGACATGATAACCTGGCATGAAACACTTCCATGTCACTTGGCTGTTTTTCAAATTTATCCATGTTTTGCCCAAAACAATAATGTCAAGGTTTTTGCAGTGTTCTTGCTTGCTTTTGCAGTCTAAAAAATTTAGCTTAGACAGTGTTTTGTCATTGGGTATCTGGGACTTGTAGCTGACATTGTGTTTAAAACCTAAGTAGATTTGCTAGAGATATCTCAAGGGACATTGTGTTTAAAACCTAAGTAGATTTGCTAGAGATATCTCAAGGACAATTCAGCTTAATATCTTTGCTAAGAATAATTTTTTCACTCCATCTCTCCATATGAACAAGACTGTGGTAAGCTAAATTGATTTATCATGCATATCTGTTTGACTGTAAATATTGTACGTACTTCAGACCTTCATTATTTTGTTTAATCTTCAATTGTTGATTCACTTAATGTGACTTCAGATGACTTTTATTCCCTGAATAAGTGACTAATGGAAGTGTCCATCTTAGGTATGCCTCAATTTACACATGTCCACACTTACAAAATGGGATACTTAGCAACCTTAAGGTTTTACAGCTGCAGAGTTGCACTACAACTGTGTCAGACATACAGATTCTCTGTACCATTGTTTTATAAACAATGCACGTCCAAAAAGGCCGAAACACATCTCATTTCTAAGTTAGAAACTTGTTACGAGTACAACACCAATTTTTCGTCACCCTTCCCAGGTCTTGCCAGTATATCAAGTTTACCGGACTATCAAAGATCACAATAATAATAGTTCAACATTACACTTCTGATCTGGAGAATTAAACGTGTGCAACATCTGGGTATCTTTATTTGTAGACGTTTTGCCATCCAGTGGCTTTTTCAGTACAAATTCAAGGCTATAATAGGAAGACTGTAGAACTATATACAAAAGATGAGGTAATCAGTTCCTCAGCCTTGGAGCTGTTGAAGAGCACTGTGTGATTGCTCAATAAACTGGCCTGGCAAAAAACTAAGTCTTGTAATTTTCCTGAAATAAGAGGTGCCAGACCATCTTTGGACAGAAAATCGGTGTTGTATCTGTATATGGCTACGTTATGCTATCTTTTTTATTATAATATACACTGCATTGCTAAATAAAAAAAATTATCCACAGCTTTAGTCCTTAGCGGTGCCTACAAGTTAGCAGAAACTACAAACAAAGTACCTCCCATAAAACCAGACCAAGCTGTCAAGTTCGCAAATTACCTCATGTCTCGCAAATCTGTCCAATTGTCTAAAGGCGTGTACTACCTGCTGGAGGCAGTATCTATGTTCACAAATAACAAGTAAGTTGATTATTTCATATTTTGAGGGGGAGTATTCATTTGTAGTTATAGCAGCAGTTAGGCTCATGGTGTCTGGTCATGAGTATTTAGTTCGTTATTTTTTTTTTTAAGTTTTTAGTGCTTGTAACACTATCTCCTTGATGCCATTCTAGTAGTGTTCAAAGAAAAATTTCTTGTTCTCTGCATGAGTATTTTTTTTTGTTACCTATTTGAGTTTGTGGGGGGCTGTGCCTCAGTTTTTAATACCTCTTCTTAACTCTCAAATGACTGATATGTATGAGCAGTATTATATCTGTTTTTGGAACTCCTGCATGAAGTCTGCTTCCATTATGTTATTCCTCAGCTCATTCCACTTCTACCACTCATATATTGACTATTTTTCCTGATGTTTCTGTGGTTCAGTTAAGTGTGTAATTTCAGACTCGGTCCTGTTATGTTTGCTGAATTCCATTAAATCAGTAATACATTGACAGAACAAGCCTTTCTATAAAATAAAGTTTAACTTGGTGAGGGTTATATTAAATTGATAAAGGTCTTGCTGAGCAAAACATGACTTACAAAAGGCTTACTCTGTCCAGTGTCTCTAATTTACTAAATATTGGGTTACTGCATGCCTTTCATTACTGTGTCCCTGGTAAATAGCCTATGCTTGTCTACCCTGTCACTGTATGATGTTTATGAGTTTATGCTGCTTCCCACCAAGGCAGGGTGGCCCGAAAAAGAAAAAACTTTAATCATTTATTCCAACAGTCTTGCGAGAGGTGCACTCACACTACAGTTATAAAACTGCAACATTAACACCCCTCCTTCAGAGTGCAGGCACTGTACTTCCCATCTCCAGGACTCAAGTCTGGCCTGCTGGTTTCCCTGAATCCCTTCACACACTCCAACAGCTTGTCAAGTCCCAAAAACCACTTGCTAACATGCTCACACATGCCTGCAATATGTCCAAGCCCCTTACACACAAAACCTCCTTGACCCCCGTCCCTACATCTTTTCTTGGGATAACCCCTAAATTATTTTTTTATTTTTTTTTATATCACACTGGCCAATTCCCACCAAGGCAGGGTGGCCCAAAAAAGAAAAACTTTCACCATCATTCACTCCATCACTGTCTTGCCAGAAGGGTGCTTTACACTACAGTTTTTAAACTGCAACATTAACACCCGTCCTTCAGAGTGCAGGCACTGTACTTCCCTAAATAGCATTGAATTTATTATTAACCCTTAAACGGTCCAAACAGATCGACGTTCAAATTCGTAGCTACAAAAGTAGATCTACTTTTTTTTTACATATTTTCAAATATAACAAAAAAAAATGTAGATAAAAGTTTTTTTTACAAAATGTAAAACAAAAAAGATCTACATTTTTTTACATACTTTCAGATGTTGAAAACACGTATATATACGTTTGGACCATTTAAGGGTTAAAGATGAAATTAAGTTTAATATATGTAAATATTTTAGATGTAAAACAAGTCTTTTCCATGACATATACTAGTAAAAAATATGAATTATTTTTCAGATACATAATTTTTTATGCATTTGGTGTGTGAATACAGTACATACAAAGTTTATAAAATATAAATCACAGGATTAAGTGATTTATTAATGTATTTTTTTCAGGTTCCATGTGCCAGTGGCAATTACCTTAGCAAGCAATGTTGCTGTAAGTGCAGAGGCTCCAAATATACAGGCAAGTTTTTTTAAATTGTTAAATGATAAATAATTATCTCACACACAGAATTGGAAAAAAAAAAATCAGCTTTATATCTAACTGGGAAACAGTTCTTGTTCCATTTACAACTGGCCCACAAACTGGGGATGACTGAAAAAGCCTGTTGTGCAAGCAGAACATTTTGACAATTAAGATGCCTAGATGTTGCACATGTGTTGTATTCATCAGCTTGTTGGTATTATAAACTGTACTCACCCATTTGTACTCATTTGTTTATGGTTGCAAGGGTCAGGCTGTGTTTTTGGTTGCAAGGGTTGATCTGTGTTTGTGTTTGCAAGGATCAGTTCTCAGATCCTGGCCTTACCTCTCAACTTACCACTCTTCAGAGTTCATTCAGTCGTAGCCTCATATACCCTATTGTATCTGCTCTTAAAACTATGCATGATGCCTGCATCCATTACTTCCTCACCAGATCATCCCACTTCCTGACTACTATGAAATTGAAGAAATACTTCCTAATATCCCTGTGACTCATCTGTGACTTAACTTCCAGTGATGTTCCTGAGTTTCTGTTTATTGCCTTTCAAACAGATTATCTCTGTCTACCTTTTCAATTTCCCTGAATATTTTGTATATTTTTTCATCATTCCCCATCCCTGGTTCTTCCATTCTCCAATATTATAAGGTCCAGTTCAGTTACTCTCTTGTAGCTCATGTCCCTTAGCTCAGGAACAAGTCCTTTTGCACACTTCTGCACTTTCTCCAGTTTCTTAATATGTTCTTTCAGGTGCAAAGTTCTGTACTGTTCTGTATACTCCAAGATGGGCCTAATGTATATTTTATAAAGAGCCTGGAATGACTGTTGAGATTCCTGAAGGATACTTAGAGATTTGCCAGACGAGCATTGACTAGAGGTTATTTGGCTGATTTGAGCTTCTGCAGCCTCTGTTTCCCTAGTCTGTACCTGATTTATGGCCTTTCTCCTTCCCCATTCTTCATGACCTGCATTTACTTGGGTTTGAATTCAGTCAAAAATTATCGGACCACCCTTTCAATTTGTCCGATCCCTTTGGAGCCTTTCCTTGTCCTTGTCTGCTTTTATTCTCATTGATTTTGCATCAGCAAACAGGGATATATGTGAATCAGTCCCATCTGGAATGTCATTCACATAACCAAAAATAGTACTGATCCTAATACCAATCCTTGTGGAACCTTGATAGTAACTCTTCCTCATTCTGACGTCTCTCTTCTGTTGATTGCTCTTTGCTTCCTTCCCCCAGATATACTTTTTGATCCATCAGAGTACATTCCCTGTTATTCCTATTTGAAACTCAAGTTTTTAGCTCTACCTTCTGTAGAGTACAGTATCAGACACCTTATTGCAGTCTGAAAAGTAAAACAATTCACCCAACCCTTTCTCTTGTCACACACATGTTCCTTTGTCATAGAACTTCAGATTAGTAAGCCAATATTTCCTATACCTAAACCAATGCTGGCTATTGTTTATGAAAACATATCTCTCCATGTGTTTTACCACTTTCCCTGATAACCTTCATTACTTTGCAAGGTATGAATGTTAAAGTAACTGGTCTGTAGTTTAACACCTATCTGTCTTCTTTCTTTCTTTCAACACACTGGCCATATCCCACCAAGGCAGGGTGGCCCAAAAAGAAAAACGAAAGTTTCTCTTTTAAATTTAGTAATTTATACGGGAGAAGGGGTTACTAGCCCCTTGCTCCCGGCATTTTAGTCGCCTCTTACAACACGCATGGCTTACGGAGGAAGAATTCTGTTCACTTCCCCATGGGGATAAGAGGAAATAAACGAGAACAAGAACTAGAAAGAAAATAGAAGAATACCCAGAGGGGTGTGTGTATATATATATGCTTGTACATGTATGTGTAGTGTGACCTAAGTGCAAGTAGAAGTAGCAAGACATACCTGAAATCTTGCATGTTTATGAGACAGACAAAAGACACCAGCAATCCTACCATCATGTAAAACAATTACAGGTTTTCGTTGTACACTCACTTGGCAGGACAGTAGTACCTCCCTGGGCGGTTGCTGTTTACCAACCTACTACCTTGGTACCTATCTGTCTCCTTTCTTAAATATAAGGACTACATTTGCTGTCTTCCAGATCTCTTGTAACTGTCCTATATCCATTGACCTGTTGTAAATCATAGCTGGTGGTTAAGACAATGCTTCTACACCTTCGTGCAGAATCCATTGTGAGAGAGTAGAGAAACTCTCGAAACTCTTCAAGGGTACCTTTTCCCCATTTGTGTGGATGACATCCAGTATATCTTTGTGTCACTTATTCCTGAGTCTGGTATTGCTGCTAGTACTGCTGGGAAGTAACTCTTCATATAGTTTTATCGACAATTCACAGACCTCCCTTCCTCAGTTGAATATCCTGGTCCTTTACTGTAGTCTGTGTCAGTATGTTACAATGGTGTATAGATATAGTTATGCTGTTCATTACCAAGAACTGCATAATGCAATGCAATGTACATGATTAAAAAAATTAGTATCTAGATAAAACTGTAGAATTGTTGTGTATAATATTATGTATTTTGTCTTGACTAGGTGCGAGTAACAGATCTTGAAGGTTATAGTTTGGGGCCATTGAAGGTGACTGCTGACTCAGCAACAAGAGTCTCCGATGAAGTGGTTATTATATCAAAAGAACCTCTAGTGCCTCTCTCAGCTGCTGAGTAAGTCTCTCTTTAATTTAGTTTCTCAATACATCAACTACTTCTTGCCAAATCAAAGTAACCCAGAGGAGAAAAATAATTCATTACTCATTCTTTACTTATCTTTAACAATAACAGTATCAGGGAATAATATTTTTAATTTGTCGAGTCATTCAACATTAGAAGAGATACAGGCTCAAACCTCTGTCCAGTAATCTGTTGTATGACCCATGTTGGTTTGGAGCTTTCCCATGCATATAATAATTTGTTCCCATGCATATAATAATTTGTTCCCATGCATATAATAATTTGTTCCCATGCATATAATAATTTGTTCCCATGCATATAATAATTTGTTCCCATGCATATAATAATTTGTTCCCTGGTGGGTAACGGCGATGTGTTAATAAAGTAAAAAAAATAATAGCAAGACAGAAGAATAGTTCGGCAGCAGTGTTTTATATTTATCTTTTCATTCCCTATAAATATTAGTTTCATTTCACAGCTGTTCTTTGTAATAAAACTAGTACAGGTACTGTAGTCTTAAATTAAGTCTTAAAGTATTCTTGAATAGAAAGTGTTTCATTTTCAGGTCACCCTGCCTTGGTGGGAAAGGGCCAGCATGCTAAAAAAAATTAAGAACACAGACCTTTCAGAAAGTAATTTATGTACAATTGTAGAATGGTTGATAAATAATGTACTATTTGTGTTCTACAGTGGTGTTTATGAGCTAGATGTAATGTCCAGAGGTCCTCACCGAGGATTTTATCGTCTGGTGGTAAGCGTAGATGCTTCAGACTCTCGCCTTGTTGGCCACACTGATGCTCAACTCACCTTCAAAGTTCTTACTGCCATAGACATCCAAGGAGTGGAGATTGGAACTGCTGACTCTGACCAGTCTACTGCACCAAATCTTCAAAAGTCAGTATCATTTGTGGTATTGTGTTTGGAAAACTTTCTATTTGAAATTGTAAACCTTAAAAGACAAAAGTCACTTGTCCCTCTCTAGAGTCTTAGTCTATCAAAATACAGAAAGTGTATGACCAAGTAACAGCAGTTTTGTCATGTTTAATATGACTAAACTTCCCTGACCTGGTTCCTGACATTGTCATCTGGCCTGACCTGACCTAAACTGTCTTCTTTCTTCCCCCCTCCATCTCTCTGACCTGTTTCTTGGTTTCTCCCCATTTTCTCACTGAGTTGTGACTTCACAATTGTCCAGGAAGGATTGAAACCTCTAAAGTTTCCCCTCCAAAGTGCAGGTTATTTGTGAATTGTTCCAGCCATTATATTAACTTAATAACAAGTAGTTTAGATTAGTTAATATAGTTAATGAAGCTTGTTAACTAGGATCAGTTTAGTATTGGATATTTTTGGTTCAGTTCAGTTCTGTTAACAAAATCTGCTTTGTTTGGGAAACTGGACACGATGGTTGTTAACTATTCACAGGATGGTTTAGAAAGTTTATCGAAACTGCTGCTGCAATTACATTTTATGGGAAAAATTAAGTCAAATCGTATTATTTTATTTTTAAGTAGATAACCTTAACATGTTTATAAAGATTTATATACATATTTTAGCTAAAAATTGAAATATGTCAGAAAATGCTTCAAGCCATTACCACCCTCTTTCTGATGCTGGCAAAGAGTTTTAGACCTGGAGACTTACAACTATCCTCCACTTCCTTGAATCAGACATTTTTACTGCTGTTTCTCGAGGTGTTATATAACCCTTAGCCTAGTGCGTCCCCTACAGTATTTATTTTTTTTTTTTTTTTTTTTTTTTTTTTTAACAAGTCGGCCGTCTCCCACCGAGGCAGGGTGACCCAAAAAAAAGAAAGAAAATCCCCAAAAAGAAAATACTTTCATCATCATTCAACACTTTCACCACACTCACACATTATCACTGCTTTTGCAGAGGTGCTCAGAATACAACAGTTTAGAAGCATATATGTATAGAGATACACAACATATCCCTCCAAACTGCCAATATCCCAAACCCCTCCTTTAAAGTGCAGGCATTGTACTTCCCATTTCCAGGACTCAAGTCCAACTATATGAAAATAACCGGTTTCCCTGAATCCCTTCACTAAATATTAACCCTGCTCACACTCCAACAGATCGTCAGGTCCCAAGTATCATTCGTTTCCATTCACTCCTATCTAACACGCTCACGCCGCTTGCTGGAAGTCCAAGCCCCCTCACCCACAAAACCTCCTTTACCCCCTCTTTCCAACCCTTTCGAGGACGACCCCTACCCCTCTTTCCTTCCCCTATAGATTTATATGCTTTCCATGTCATTCTACTTTGATCCATTCTCTCTAAATGACCAAACCACCTCAACAACCCCTCTTCTGCCCTCTGCTAATGCTTTTATTAACTCCACACCTTCTCCTAATTTCCACACCCGAATTTTCTCCATAATATTTACACCACACATTGCCCTTAGACAGGACATCTCCACTGCCTCCAACCGTCTCCTCGCTGCTGCATTTACCACCCAAGCTTCACATCCATATAAGAGTGTTGGTACTACTATACTTTCATACATTCCATTTTTGCCTCCATAGATAACGTTTTTTGACTCCACATATACCTCAACGCACCATCACCTTTTTTTCCCTCATCAATTCTATGATAACCTCATCCTTCATAAATCATCCGCCGACACTCAACTCCCAAGTATCTGAAAACATTCACTTTCCATACTCCTCCTCCCCAATTTGATAATCCAATTTTTCTTTATCTAAATCATTTGATACCCTCATCACCTTACTCTTTTCTATGTTCACTTTCAACTTTCTACCTTTACACACATTCTCAAACTCATCCACTAACCTTTGTAATTTTTTCTTTAGAATCTCCCATAAGCACTGTATCATCAGCAAAAAGTAACTGTGTCAATTCCCATTTTGAATTTGATTCCCCATAATTTAATCCCACCCCTCTCCCGAACACCCTAGCATTTACTTCTTTTACAACCCATCTATAAATATATTAAACAACCATGGTGACTTTACACATCCCTGTCTAAGACCTACTTTTACCGGGAAGTATTCTCCCTCTCTTCTACACACCCTAACCTGAGCCTCACTATCCTCATAAAAGCTCTTTACAAGCATTTAGTAACTTACCACCTATTCCATATACTTGCAACATCTGCCACTTTGCTCCTCTATCCACTCTATCATATGCCTTTTCAATCCAAAAATTTGCAATAAAAAACTTCCCTACTTTATCTAAATACTGTTCAATATATGTTTGCAATGTAAACACTTGATCTACCATCCCCTAACCCACTCTGAAGCCCTCCTTGCTCGTCCGCAATTCTACATTCTGTCTTACCTCTAATTCTTTCAATTATAAACCTAACCGTATACTTTTCCCTGGAAAACCCTCAGTAAACTTATTCCTCTAAAATTTTTTTCAATTTCTTTTGTCCCCTTTCCCTTTATATAAAGGGACTATACATGCTCTCCCCCCAAAATCCCTAGGTACCTTCCCCTCTTTCATACATTTATTAAACAAAAGTTACCAACCACTCCAACACTATATCCCCCCTGCTTTTAACATTTCTGTCATGATCCCATCAGTTCCAGCTGCTTTACCCCCCTTTTATTCTACGTAATGCCTCACGTACCCCCACCACACTTAAAATTCTGCTCTTCTTCACTCCCAAAAGATGGTATACCTCCCTGGCCAGTGCATGAAATTAAACCCCCCCTCCCTTTCTTCCTTAACATTTAAAAGTTCCCAAAATATTCTCGCCATCTACCTAATACCTCCCTCTCCCCATCTACTAACTCCCCTACTCTGTTTTTAACTGACAAATCCATACTTTCCCTAGGCTTTCTTAACTTGTTTAACTCACTCCAAAATTTTTTCTTATTTTCATAAAAATTTCTTGACAGTGCCTCTCCCACTCTTTCATCTGCTCTCCTTTTGCACTCTCTCACCACTCTCTTCACCTTTCTTTTACTCTCCATATACTCTGCTCTTCTTATAACACTTCTGCTTTGTAAAAACCTCTCGTAAGCTACCTTTTTCTCTTTTATCACACCCTTTACTTCATCATTCCACCAATCACTCCTCTTTCCTCCTGCCCCCACCCTCCTATAACCACAAACTTCTGCCCCACATTCTAATACTGCATTTTTAAAACTATTCCAACCCTCTTCAACCCCCCCACTACTCATCTTTGCACTAGCCCACCTTTCTGCCAATAGTCGCTTATATCTCGCCCGAACTTCCTCCTCCCTTAGTTTATACACTTTCACCTCCCTCTTACTTGTTGTTGCCACCTTCCTCTTTTCCCATCTACCTCTTACTCTAACTGTAGCTACAACTAAATAATGATCCGATATATCAGTTGCCCCTCTATAAACATGTACATCCTGAGCCTACCCATCAACCTTTTATCCACCAATACATAATCTAACAAACTACTTTCATTACGTGCTACATCATACCTTGTATATTTATTTATCCTCTTTTTCATAAAATATGTATTACTTATTACCAAATTTCTTTCTACACATAGCTCAATTAAAGGCTCCCTATTTACATTTACCCCTGGCACCCCAAAATTACCTACTACTCCCTCCATAACATTTTTACCCACTTTAGCATTGAAATCCCCAACCACCATTACTCTCACACTTGATTCAAAACTCCCACGCATTCACTCAACATTTCCCAGAATCTCTCTCTCTCCTCTACACTTCTCTCTTCACAGGTGCATACACGCTTACTATAACCCACTTTTCACATCCAATCTTTATTTTACTCCACATAATCCTTGAATTTATACATTTGTAGTCCCTCTTTTCCTGCCATAGCTTATCCTTCAACATTATTGCTACTCCTTCTTTAGCTCTAACTCTATTTGAAACCCCTGACCTAATCCCATTTATTCCTCTCCATTGAAACTCTCCCACCCCCTTCAGCTTTGTTTCACTTAAAGCCAGGACATCCAGTTTCTTCTCATTCATAACATCCACAATCATCTCTTTCTTATCATTTGCACAACATCCACGCACATTCAGACTTCCCACTTTGACAATTTTCTTCTTCTTATTCTTTTTAGTAATCTTTACAGGAAAAGGGGTTACTAGCCCATTGTTCCCGGCATTTTAGTTGACTTTTACAACACGCATGGCTTACGGAGGAAAGATTCTTATTCCACTTCCCCATGGATATAAAAGGAAAAGTAATAAGACCAAGAACTATTAAGATAAAATCAAAGAAAACTCAGATGAGTGTGTATAAATAAATGTGTACATGTATGTGTAGTGTGACCTAAGTGTAAGTAGAAGTAGCAAGACATACCTGTAATCTTGCATATTTATGAGACAGACAAAAGACACCAGCAATCCTACCATCATGTAAAACAATTACAGGCTTTCGTTTTACACTCACTTGGCAGGACGGTAGTACCTGCCTGGGTGGTTGCTGTCTACCAACCTACTACCAGTATAATAATAATAATTACCAGCATCTGAAAAACCATTTTGTAAGTCTATGGTATATTAAATGAAATTAGTATTGTCCTGGTCTATATTATAGCTCCTGGTACTTGGTTATAGGTTATTCATTCACATAGGTGTTTGTTATTTATTGTATAGATGACTGTAGGGTTTTTAAAAATGCAATATTAAAATACTTAAAATTAGCTTTCATTTTTTTTATTTTTTTAAATAATTATCATACTCATAAGACAAAGTATAACTTTGGTTTTGCATTTTGTATGAAAAGAAATGAATTATGAAGTACCAATCAAAATGATTTGTCACTTGGTATCAGAGATAAAATTGTGGTGTTTTGTGAACATTTCATTATTAAATGTTCAGAATTGTTCCCAAGACACTGATTAGGGACTGATTACCTCGTCTTCTGTATATAGTCCTACTGTCTTCAAGTTATGTCCTGGAATTTGTATTGATAAAGCCACTGGATGGCGAAACGTCTACAATAAAGATACCCAGATGTTGCACGTGTGTCTTAATTTCATCTTGTCGGTATTGTATACCATTCTTGCACACTGATTCCAATTTTTTTTATTGGCAAATATTTCTTCGGTGCTGAGTACTGGGTTGGTCATGTCAAAATGCTATAATTAAGGCATTTTCTGCCCTTAAGTAATGTTAGCCATAATTTCTGACCTGTGGGGCAGTTAGTTAAAACAGTGTTAGAAAACTTTTGTATTAACATCTGTTTATTTTCTCAGCACAGTGAGGGAGATAAAGGATTTTTTTTTCCTTCATTTTTCCTATTGTATTTTGTATTTCAGAGTGACTTATCCAAACACCCTCCCAGAAGTCCTGGTAGCTGATCAACACCAGCGTGTGATGCTGCGATTTCTGGTCAGAGATACAGCATCTGGGAGACCCACTGAAGTTCATCAAGCATTTGTGAAGATCACTCACATTGAGTCCAAGCGTGAGATTATCTTTGTTGCTGAGACAGATTCAAATGACATCTATAAATTTGATATTGTAAGTGTTCAGTAATACATGTATAATGTGTAACTCTGTCCTTTTCACACATCTAGAGTGGTAGATGATTGGAATAGTTTACAAAGTGTACGATGTGATGCAGCTACAGAAATTATTTTTTTTTTTTAAGAGACTAAATTTTGGAGACAGGACACTATAAACTTAGATCTGCTCCTGTAGCTATGAATAGGTTTACCTGGAGGGTGTTTCAGGGGTCAGTGCCCCCACAACTCGGTCCATTACCAGATAGGTAATGAAATTTGTCAACCTGAACTAGATGAGGCTTTTTGAGCAGTAAGGATTTCTGTACGAGTACAGTAGCTACTGGCGCACTAAAGGTTTTGTACATGGATATTACACCACAGGATAAGTTATCACACACTGGGTATTGATAAAGCCTGTTCAAAATCTTTGAAAGGGTCAAATGTTTACAACCAGACTAGGCCTGGAGCTGAGGGTATGTACCCTGAGGAAAAATGTCATTAACCTGCCCGTGTTATCATTGTGTCTAGGATTTATAATGCACTCAGCAAATATCTACCATTTTTTCATTATAAAATTACCATTTGATTTACGTCAAATTCAATAATATTGTGTGTGTTGTATTTACATTTTAGTGATATTTGATGATAGGGAGAGTGAATAAGTTACTTGTACAGAACATTAGTGCAAGTCCCTTTCCCATTTTCCTCTTTTCACCCTTATTAAAGCTCCTCTCCTCTTCCTTTCCATCCTCTTCCCTTCCCCTCTATCCTCTCTGTGGTGTACACCAGTGACTGGTGTTGAGTCTTCTTGCTCCTCAGCTTGGCCTGGGGCTGGGCAATTGATTGATCAACCAGGCTGTTGGTCTGCCCTACATCTCTTCCCTCTCATATCTTCATCGCTTTCTACCCTTCCACCAACTCTTCCTCTTCTTCCTCTCTTCCCTTTTCTTATTTTAAACTTCTTTGAAAATAGTTATAATTTTACTGTACAAATATTTATAGTTTTTCAAAATTTATCTATAGTGGATTATAATATGATTTTATAAAACAAATCTGGTATTAAAAACCAAAATCATGTAGGTTTAACATATTGAAAATTGTATTATTTAAGGTATGCTTTTGACATTATCATTGTGTAATGCAATAATGGTTTCATTTATCAGATTTGATATTCATAGATTTTCGTGCCTCTTTTCAGGATGTGAGCAGCAGCATGAAAGAGTTTGGAGGTGTAAGTGGGGTCTACTCTATAGAGTTGATTATTGGTGATGCATCTATAAGTAACCCCACCTTATGGCACATTGCTGACTTGTCTCTCACGTTTCCTGAATCTACCATTCCTTCATCACCTCAAGATTACACATACAAGGTAAAGATATTTCACATTGTGGGAAAATCAGAACATTTATCTGCTTATATGAAGTGCTAAACCCATGTGGATTATTCTGTGCAAGGACTGCTGGAGGCTCAGTTCTCTATTTGCTGATCATTAGACACAACCTAACTACGAAAAGTCTAAACTCGTATGGCAATAACCCTCACATACATATATATATATTTTTTAACACTTCGGCCATCTCCTACCGAGGCAGGGTGACCCAAGAAAAGAAACACTTTCACCATCAGTAACAGCCTGGCTGATCAGACCCTGATCCAGCATGAGGCTTGGTTTTAGACCGGGCTGTGGGGACATCGACCCCCAAAACCCTCTCCAGGTAGTCATTCACACATAATCACTGTTTTGATAGAGGCACTCAGATAGGACAGTTTAGATGTCACTCCAAACAGCCAATATCCCAAACCCCTCCTTTAAAGTGCAGGCATTGTACTTCTCACCTCCAGGGCTCAAGACCGGCTAACAGGTTTCCCCTGAATCCCTTCACAAAGTACACCTACCATCCGACTTACGACCTGCTCGACTTACGACCACTCGACTTACGACCGTATTTTTTATGCCAAATTTCTGGGAAATAAACAACTATTTGTATTGTACACAGTGTTTATCCTACTAACAACATAAAAAGTAAAGTAAAACATGAAATACCAAAATAAAACAATAAAATAGTCATTACAAAAATGTTTTGTTGATATTCAGTAGTAAAGTTCGACTTACGACCACTTCGACTTACGACCAGTTTCTCGGAACCGAACTCGGTCGTAAGTTGGATGGTAGGTGTATTACCCTGCTCACACTCCAACAGCTTGTCACACCCCAAAAACCATTCATCTCCATTCACTCCTTCCTAACACACACACACACACACACACACACACACACACACACCACACAAAACACACACACACACACCACACACACAACACACAAAACACACACACACCCCACACACACACACACCACACACACACACACACACACACACACACACACCACACACACACACACACACACACACCACACACACACACACACACACACACACACACACACACACGCACACGCACGCGCACGCACGCACACGGCACATGGCACATCAATTTTTACTTCCTGCTACCAAAAGAGACTACAAGATATCTTATACCTTAAGTGCTCTACTACATACACATTCAAAACTTAGGAAAGTAAGGAATTTCATTCACATTATAGAACCATTCTCTTGCTGCACTCATTCACAATACTTTCTCTTCCATCACAAACTCCAGTTTTGAGGTCCACAATACAGCTATGCCACTTGCTTGTAGTTAAATCAACACTGTTCCAGTTTATACAATGCTGTATGTGTATAAGCTCAATAAGGCCACATCCTAGTGGATGGTAGTATACACTACCTTTAATCTCCCTTGTCTTTGTATTGACTCAGGATAGGATAATACCTCTTAGCCTGTAATTCAAAGTGTAAAAAAAAATATTTCTCTATCACCACTTGTTTAGCACTTCTTTTTTATTATGATAATAATCTATCAAAACTTGCTCCAGTTATTCAATTTTGCAATGATTTTTTGCCTTTTCCTGAATGAAATTGGTTTAGGGCTTATTAGCTAATGCATAAGTTCTTTGCAGGTTCGTCCAGAGATCCACCACGTGTTCCGTAGCCCCGACCCACGACCATCAACCGTCATGTCTACAACATTTACTGTCTTGTGTATCTTGCCATTGTTCCTGTTGTTGCTTATAGTAAGTGCTTTGCCTGTTTTTACGGAGACAAAACTAAAAATTATTTACTGTCCATTGGTAATAGAGTTGTGGATGAGTGGAACAAGCTCCTGAATACAGTTATTAAGGCTAAAACGTTGTGTAGTTTTAAAAATAGGTTAGATAAATACATGAGTGGGTGTGGGTGGGTGTGAGTTGGACCTGACTAGCTTGTGCTGCTGGGTCTGGTGCAGTGCTCCATCCTTGAGTGGAGGTGACCAGACTGGGTGGGTCATTGGGATAATCCGGGGGGTGGGTCATTGGGATAATCCGGGGGGGGGAGGCATGGACCTGCTCCGCATGGGTCAGTAGGCCTGTTGCAGTGTTCCTTCTTTCTTATGTTCTTATGTTGTTAAATATATTAAGAGTTCAGTAATAATGCAGTCCATTGTATTTACAATCAAAATAACATTTGGATTAAAGATAAAACTATAATGATACATATTAGGCAGTGCTGAATAATAACAGTTTAGTCATTGTTTTACAAGGGAAGTTCTTTAAAATACATTTATAAAAAGTAGTAACTACTGCTAATTCTTTCTTTCAACACACCAGCCGTATCCCACCGAGGCAGGGTGGCCCAAAAGGAAAAACGAAAGTTTCTCCTTTTACATTTAGTAATATATACAGGAGAAGGGGTTACTAGCCCCTTGCTCCCAGCATTTTAGTTGCCTCTTACAACACGCATGGCTTACGGAGGAAGAATTCTGTTCCACTTCCCCATGGAGGTAAGAGGAAATAAACAAGAACTAGAAAGAAAATAGCAGAAAACCTAGAGGGGTGTGTGTATATATATGCTTGTACATGTATGTGTAGTGTGACCTAAGTGTAAGTAGAAGTAGCAAGACGAAACCTTGAAATCTTGCAGTTTATGAGAAAAAAAAGGCACCAGCAAACTACCATCAGTAAAACAATTACAGGCTTTCGTTTTACATCTACTTGGCAGGACGTAGTACCTCCCTGGGGGGTGCTGTCTACAACCTGCTAATTAAATTAATTAAAAAACTGAAAATACAAATTTGTTTGAACATAACATTGTAAGTTAGGGAGACCCACATATTCAATACCAGTTGTTTAAGGAACTATTTCCAACTCTAGAAGTAATCAAATGAAATTTAGTTAATTTTGGGCTGACATTTATTAAAATTACGAGAAGGAATCATTACTTTTGACAATGGTTTTTTATTTTTTGCCTTCAAAATATACTTTTCAAGTAGGTATCAATTTACTCTTCCCCAAATTTGTCAACGGGTTTAAGCATTTTTCCTGAATTATCGACCATGTTGGCTATGTTAATGAGAGTTTTTATTCAGTATAAGGAGGGTGATTTGCGGTTATGACTGTATTACAATCCAAGACTTAGTAATAAAAAATTTTCTTTTTTTCACCTCCCAAAATTTATTTAGTTTATAACTTATATAGGTTCCTGACAAAAAAGGGAGGAAATAAAATTTTTTCGGCCACCTGCTTGGGGGAACCTGATGTTAATAAAAATAAAATTGTAGGCCTAAATATAGGTAATTAGGCCCTGTCATACCGGTGGCGTTGCCCGGAATAACCAAGGTACCCCGGTAGATAATACACTAGTATTTTTTATACAATGTTTGGTTATTAAGTCTGTATTATCATTCGTCACCCGATTTAAAAGTTACTTTTTTTTTATCCAGGGGTAAAGCTGGGAGTAAACATCTCCAACTTCCCAAACCCAGCTTTTGTTCCTAGGCCTTGCAGGTATGTGTATTACAATAATACATAGTTTTAAAACATATTTGATTTAAAAACTTTATCCAGTATCACAAATAACCCACTTTAAAAAGTTACGACGATGTTTCGGTCCACTTGGCCTTTACAAGCACATTAACCAAATGGAGCAGGCCCTATATTGGCCAATATAGCCGTCCTGCCACACGGGTTTAAAAGTGTGACTTTGAAAATGACCCAAAGTCGGCCGAAACGTCGCGAAAGCTTCTCCGTTTATGTGCGGTTTATTGTTGATCGTCCAGTCACAGTATTGTGCTTTTTTTGTTATTTATCCGTATGCCAGGATCTCCATTGGCCACAACAGATTTTGTGCAGCCTACAACTTATTTATGATAAAGTAAAACTAATAAACTCTCATTATCGTCCTGATCATTTAAATTAAGGATTTTGTTGCTTGTAACAAATGGAATTATTGCTCCAATCAATGACATCTGAAAGAAAAGTATAAAGAAGGAATCTGTTTAAAATTTATAAGTCTTTACAGCTGAAAAATTTTCCCCGATTTGAGTGATTTGCTTTTTGGATTTGTGCAGTTTCTGGTAAAATGTAATCTTGTGAACAAACATTTTCAAAAGGGAAGTATGTCATTCTAATTTGAAGTTAATTTAAAAACGGTTTCTAAAGCTGAAACCCTCATCAGCTTTAAATTTTCAAATTAAAAATCGTTCCCTCATTCCCTTAATCTTGTGGCAACTTTGCTCAAGCTGGCTTATGTTTAATATTTTTACCATTATTTATTCGGGAGGCCCCACTTTAGGCATTTCGCTAAAAGGGACATTCAAATTACAACCAAAAATTAATTTTTGTGGCTCCCTGATTCATAAAACACATCTGCGAAACCATGTTTGTTTACATCCTCCTTACCTCTGCATCTCTTTGATTATGTCAAGAACTTTCCAAAATTTCCAGGTGTGACATGAGCACTGTTTGGTAAAACAGCATTAATGAATGAGGTAAATTTTTTTTGGGTCTCCTTACCTTGCCGGAACAGCCTTGTTGATTAAAGTTCAGAGGGTCATTTGAAATGTTATGTCTGTACACTTCGGGCAAAACAGCCATTGAATAATGATGGTGACTTTCAAATTTGAGGGTCACATTCCCTTGCGGGAGAAATTTTTTTTTTTTTTTTTTGTTTAAGTAATGGGGCATCTTACACTCCTTTTTAAACTAAAGAAAGAACTATGAATTTACAGTTAATTTTAAAAAATTATTTTCCTCGGTGACCTCGCACACACATCTTTCTCTACTCGACTCATTGTTCTTCTCTTCTGTTGCAGCTGGACAGTTTATCAACGTTCGTTCCCTTACTCTGGTTGGAATAGAAACCCTTCTTCTGTGGCAATTCCATGCTTTCCAATATAGCCACCAAAAGGAAAGAGTGAGTATTATGCATGAAATAGCCAACTAATATAACCCAAGATTTTTTCTTTTTGTTAATTTGCAAGGTTATACTGTTCACCTTTCAAGGGGAGTGCCATGATGGTGAAGGGTTCTTGATCTGAGGAATTGGAGCTATCCTTCCCATCCCTTTCCTTAGATCAAACCTGAGTACTTCTCCTCTCCCCGAAAGCTGTACAGTGGACCCTTAACCAGCGATGGCATCGATTAACGATAAATCTGACTAGCGATACATTTAAACGCAAAAATTTTGCCTCAACTAGCGCTTAAAAACCCGACCAGCGCTATTCGTTCCGTACCATACGCATCCACTTTGGCCTGAGCGCACCTCACTTGTCCCTTGGGTGTCAGTGTTTACAAGCCAGCCACCCAAAGCCACCACCGGTCGTTTCCAAACATACAACAACTGGAAACATTAATTATCACAGCCTGTAGTGATTGCACCTGCAAAATAAGTCACCATGGGCCCAGAAGTTCAGTGCCAACCCTACACCCAAAAAGGGTGAGAATTACTATGGAGATGAAGAAAGAGATCATGGCTAGTATGAAAGTGGAGTGCGTGTCTCTGAGCTGGTCAGGTTGTATAATAAACCCCAATCAACCACACTCAATATTGTGGGTAAGAAAATGGCAATCAAGGAAGCTGTTCTTGCCGAATGTCCCTTTGCTGCTGCACCACAGTCAGCTGTTGTTGTTTGGCTGCACCACAATCAGCTGTTTTAACTCGAAGATGTGGAGAGGTGTTTGTTGGTGTGGCTTAACTTTGAAACAATTACCGAGAAACGATTAACCCGGAGGGTAGCCACCCAGGTAAACCCAAGAAAGTCAGTGCTCACGGGGGACTGTCTAACTTATTTCCATTGGGGGTCCTTAATCTTGTCCCCAGGATGCGACCCACAACAGTTGACTAACACCCAGGTGAACAGGAAAAATGCCTGGAAACTAAGTGCTCATATTGGTGAGGTTAGTGGGAGGATGTGGAAGAGTTGGTGGAGGAGGACAATGGAACTAACCACTGATGAGCTGCAAGATCATCTTCAACAGTAAGGGCCCACCGTAGGAAACTGCTTTGGAGGAGGGGAGAGAGAAATTGAAAGAAGTTGCCTATTTCAAGATTAAGGAAATGTGTGCAATGTGGCTAAAGTGCAAACCTTTTTTGATGAAAATCACCCTCACACAGCTATTGCAAGCCATGCTGGGACTTTTACACTGGCAATGTTGTGAAACACTTTAGGATAAAGGAACGGAGTAAAGGCCTCTATGGACAGATTATGTGTGCGACAGAAGTCCAGTGACTTGAAGCTGGTCCTAGTGGCATTAAAGAACAAGGAAGTAACCCCAGAAAAAGACTTGCTGCCTCAAGTGCTAATGGAAGGGATTTCCCTTCAAAACACTAAACAAGACAACGTCCCCCCCTCCTCCCAAACCCATCAATCATCACCAGATCTTCAATAAAGGTAAGTGTCATGAACTGTGCATGTCTTCTTCAGTTGTGTGTATTAAAATTAATATTTCATGTGAAATTTTTTTTTTTTTTCAATACTTTGGGTGTCTTGCAGGATTTAATTTGATTTCATTATTTCTTATGGGGAAAATTAACTTTACTAACGATTATTTTGATTACGTGAGCTTCTCAGGAACGGATTAATAATCGCGGTTGAGGGTCCACTGTATTATTTATGACCCCAGTGGGTTTATGCTTTCCCCTGAATTGTTCCATCTTGCTGTAAAGTCAAGTTTGCTCTTAGCAAAGAGATAGTGCCTCCACTGTCTTGTGGTGTGCTGTCCTGTGACCGAGCAGCGAGTCAGACCAGCACCCACACACGAGCACCATGGTAGGACCAAACCCCTCAAATTATATTTTTAAAAAGCAAAAAGGGTGTACAAGAATAAAAAACTGTTTTAAATAAAGGTTTATTATATGCAGTTTGATGATGATTTTCCCTTATTGAA